GCCCCCTTTGTGTTTCATCTACTGCCCCCTCGTGCCCCCTTCTACTGCCCCCTTGTGTTTCATCTACATTTGAATCCCATGCAGACCGAGCGGATCCGAGCGGGGAAGCATGGTCCGTCCCAACCTAATGGCCGTGGCCTCCACCTAAGAGCGATGGCCTCCAACCTATAGTATACAGCGGCCTCTCCACAGTGGTTGTTTTTCTCGCAAAGAGCTACTGGAAAGCAGAGCTGGACCATAGAGACTTTGTTTCTCATTGATTCTAGTTACTAGTCGTAAGGCCAGGAGCCCCTAGTAGCGTCCTTGCTCCTAGTAGCGATGCCCTTTGCTACTAGTAGCAATGGCCTCCAAGCGCTTCCAGGCTGGGCGCTCTACGAAGTGGAGTTCTTCACTGGGAGCGACTGTAGCAGCGGGCGGCTGGTCGGCTCGGTCATCGCCAGCGGCTATGCGCCGCCAGTGGAGGACCACGCGCCGGTGAATGCCATTGATGGGAGACTCGGATTTGGGATGACAACGCTGGAGGCCATGGCTCCTGGGGTGGAGGCCGGGATCAACAATATACCCATGGTTTGAGCCTTGCGATGTGGGGAGAGGAATAATCCTCTCTCAGGATGTGCAAAGGTGGGTTTCTTGTGGGATAGAAACGTGACAATACATCCGCTTGCCCAGTTTCATCACCTGTGCATTTTAAACAGTCTCCTCTTGAGAAGCTGGCTGGCCGTTCTGTTCCTTCTCTGAACATGCCATGGCACTGCTAGACATGTATACACCACTCCTCGAAATTCCTTCCCAAAAATCGTGCGGAACCAAGAGCTCCAACTGCTTCGGAACCCTGTGCTAAATCATCTCAGTTCAAAGGGGGTTACCAGTGCCAGAGGGCATCAGGGGGCACGGAATGATTGGGTCTTTCTGGTCATGACCGTACCATTCTGCTCAGACAGATGCTTGAGGTCCAAAACCCGGAGCGTGCCGGCCCCTAGAGCCCCGTTCGTAGCGTCCTTTCCAACACATGGATTGTTCATTCCTCACTCAACTGAAACATGCACTCCCAAGAGGCACTCTCGGAGGTTTTCCTGGCGGGTAGGAGCTGAACGCCGCAAGGGAGCTGCATCCGACTCGCTTCACGAAACGCTGGACCGCTCGACCGCTCCTGCCGCTCGACCGCCCGAGGAACATCTCGACGATTTGGCTCTCGCAGTGTTGTCCCGTGGACATCTTTTCGAGGCCCTTGGGCTTTGAGCAGTTCGAGAACTTCCGCGTGGGTGGCTGGGTACGCAGGTGATGGGGTCGTTCAGGGGATGGTTGGGTGGCTGTGTTGTGGGACTTTGCAGAAACAGTGTTGCCCAAAAGGTGCTTCAAAAGCATACTACTACGTCACTACGTGAAAGCCCTATATGGTGTAAGGATATGTTTTTTTGTCCGGTTTGAACTGACTGAGCAGAGCTTGGTGGCCGCAACATCCACTTCAGTCAACACGTTTGTGGAGCAGAGTCTCCAGGTTTCTCAGCCCTCAGGTTGCAACGTCTCAGATGCCTGGGTTGGCGTTGACCTGGGCACCGGGAAGACCGAGCAGAATGTAAGGCGGAGTCGTGCGACCGGAATCGAGTTCATCCGACCGGACTCCTTTTTGGGCCGCCCCCCCCGCGGTGAGCGGCAAAGCATCAAACGCTGCGAAGCGACATGAAAGCTCGATATCATAAACCAAGCGGTCGGAGAAAACAGTTTGTGGGTCCGGTCTTTTGTTGGTGTTCTTTGGTCATCAAAAGAAGCGCGCGACACAGTCACCGGTGGAGACCTAATTCTCAGCTTCTCCGCATCCAGCATCACGTCCGAATCCGCCAGACGGCAGGTGTTTGCGCATCTACCAAGCAGGCTACGAGCTGATGCAAAGTCCTTCAGCTTGGGTCTCCAAGTGGGACGGCAGGGCCTGGGTGCAGCAGTGGCGCATGGATGGCTTGGGTGGCAGTGACTGGAACCGCCGCCCCGCCGCGGGAAACAGCATGTGGCGCTTGCAATATTTGTCCCGGAAGGACGAGGTGGGGTGGGAAGGGAAGGAATGCTAAGGCCACAAGCGCCCCGTCTGGTTCGCATCCGATCGCCCCGGACGAAGTCGTCGCGATGCCCTTGGTGACGTTCGTAGCATCCTTGCTCCTAGTAGCGATGCCCTTGTTACGTTCGTAGCTTCTTGTCAGGCCTGCCCGTCGCAGCTCTTGCGGATCACGCACCGGCCCTGGGGCGTCGCCGATCTGAAGTTCTTCTCGGACGACGACTGCTTGACGCCCATCGAAGGAGGACGGACGGTTGCGGGATGAGCTGCGGCTGGGTTCGAGGTGACTCTGTCGGTAGGTGAGGGTAGTAGGTGCTTTTGGCGTGGTGTGAGCGTGAAGAATGATGAGTTATTGGATGTTATAGGATATATATGTTATAGGTGATCTGAATGTTCGTTGTGGAGGTGGTGTTCAGCAGGAGTTTGAGAAGATACTGTGGTGCCGTGGTGCCCTGGTGCCGGTAGGGAATGCAAATGATCCCAAAGCTTTGCTCATGAAACAGGCTGTGGTGTGGAACAGGGCTGTAGTGAATAGCACTAGCATCAAGTAGTCGATCTGAGGATCAACAACATCAACGATATACCAGGACCTTCCAAGAGGTGTCTATAAATAGTAGGTTAAGGGGTGTCCAAAAAAAACCTGTTGGAAGGTCCTGACATGGGCCAGTTTTACATGGCTTCTGACCTCCTCTACCGGTCATCGGGCAGTCTTTGCATGCTCGTGCTCGTGACAGTTTCTTGTCTGTTTTCGTGCTCTCCTTCGTTTCGGGGCTGAAACCGGTGGGCGTGCTGGTCCGAACCGTACATCTCGTATGTTAACGTGCCTGAACAGAAGCAGCGGGATGTGCGTTTTTGTGAAGGAGTTGGGGAGATCTGTCTGAGAAAACTCTGAGCCGATCCAGAAATCGATGACCAATGCATTCAAGAGTTCTGTTTATATCCTATTAAATTAGTATCATTAGTTTTACCCTTGACACCCACATGTTCTTGGCAGATCTTGGCTGTTCCTTCCGCCAAAGACCCTGCATCCTTCAGCGAGCGACTTCGTGTCGCACCACCGAACCAGACAACACGGGACCAGACCTCGTTCCACCCTCCCAAAGCGGCTCTTCGACACGTGGGTCACGAGAGGGTCACACGTAGCGACACGAACGTGGCAACCGTCACAGGACAGCCGATCACCTCGGGGGGCTTCGACTTCTTTCAGCCCTCGGTGGCGGATCAGATTTCCTACCACTCCAGCAGGCGATGTGGATGCTAAAAGCCTCGAACGCTTTAGGGTTTGGAGAGCAAGGACTCTTGGGGGGGGGGGGCCCATCTGAATCTATATAATGGAGACACCCCCATCTATAGGGACTCTACAAGGAGACAATCGATGCTTCTTTTAGGGGTCAGGTTGTTTTGTTCCCTTTCGCCTGTTGATGCTTTTTGGGCAGAGAACGAGGAACCTCCCCATCCGAAAACCAAAGGTTGGCCCACTACGCGGTAGCTCATTACAGGATGCAAACGACCCCCAAAAACCACCGAAGAGAAGACCAGCTCAGGCCCAAACGAAAACCCCTGCGGGTAGGGCCCTTTGGGGAGTTCTGTGAGGTTCTTCAAATGGTGAGTTGCAGGTCGGAGAAAGAGAATCCAAAAAGCCGTTCTAGACCAGGCTTTTTTGGGGTCATCCCGCCAAAGACAGTCCCGTAGCCAAGCGCGGAGGGGTGCCTTCCGAAGTGCGGACCGAACAGTTGGAACAGCCCGTGGGTGACCTGGATCGGTGCATCCGCGCCGATCTGGATCAGAGAAAGAAGGGTCACCTCATTGCGATCAAAGCAAGCTCAAGGCTCCTTTCCGCTTTTTCCCAGCTTTCATCCCGTCCCCCTTCGGGGGATTCTCCGTTCTCCCGGGGCGGCGGTCGCTGACGGACCCGGCACAGGATCGTGGACAAGGAGACGGAAGTGTCCACCGGGCTGACGAGTCAGTTGACCACCTGGGCCGCCAACTGCCGCACGGGCTTTCTGACCAACGCCGCCGAGGCCGGGGTGCTACGAACGGTTGGAGGCCATTGCAATTAGGAGCAAGGACGCTACTAGGAACAAGTGCATCGCTTCTAGTAACAAGTGCCTTAAAGTAACAAGTGCCTTACTAGTAATAACAAGAAGCTACTAGGAACAAGTGCATCGCTAGTAGTAACAAGTGCCTTACTAGTAGTAACAAGAAGCTAACTAGGGGCTCCTGGCATCGCTACTAGGAGCAAGGACGCTACTAGGGGCTCCTGGCCTTACTACTAGGAACAAGAAGCTACTAGGGGCAGGCCTCCGGTCGGTCGTGGGCGGAGGTTCCTTTTGCTGTTAGGCTGGAGGCCATCGCTAGTAGGTTGGAGGCCCCTGGGGGGTGCGTCGATGCACCTAAGCGAGCCGCTTGAGCTGGACCCCGCCAGCTTGTTGCATGTGGCATGGGCGGCTTCTTGGCGAAGACGTGTCGTGTGTTTTTTCATCCAAGTTCCCGTGGATGAGTTTGTGGATGCTTTTGGACGGTTGTTTCAAGTGAGGCTTGATGTCGGATCGATCGTTGGGGGCGACATGGTGAATGAAAGGGCATCACCCTGTCCAGTGCACAGTGCAGACTACCTCCATTCGTGGAAGACTGCCCGAAATCTGCCAGGACACCAACTGCTCTGGCGCTTGGGTGGGTTTGCAGTGGCAGAAGGCTCACGAGGTGCGGTCCCTTCTCTTCGGACCCCCAAAAGGACGCCGCCGTTGGTTCGAGTGCCCCTACCAAAAGTCGCATGAAGTCAACAGGGCTGGGAGTCTTGAGCCTCTTCGTGTTCCGATCCCCTCACGTGCGACGGAACGCTCTTGTCGGTAGCCTCACGAGGGTATTTGTGAAGTGTTTGGCCAGCGACTGGTGCACCCTTTGGGAAGAAAAAGACACACACTTGGTGGGTTTGTTGGATCAGTTCCATGTGAAGCTCCAACCTCAGGCCCTTCAGAGCTTTCAGAGCTCTGACCCCTGAGGCCCTTCCCGTCCAAATGGTTGAGCTGCTTTTTGTAGGTCAACAGACAATTCCTTCATCTAAACAATGGTTGGAACTGTGTTTTGTCAAAGAAAGTTTCTTCACGAACTTGATGTATAGGTATACATAACAATTGAACTCCTTCAAACTGCATGGTCTTCTTCGATGAAGTAACTCGTCGTTTTTAAGCGTCGCCTCGACGAGGTGCGCTGCGTGACGCTGGTGCAGAGCCGCTGGGAGGCCTCGAAGTGCTGCGACGCGGCCGACCGGTTGGAGCTCCAGAGGCGCCACCGGTGGAGCCGAGCACGTCCGGTCCAAAAGCGTGAGAAAACCACGTCCCAGGAGCAAAAGGAACAACCATGTCATAGGAATCTTCTTCATGTCATGTCTATATAAATCAAGTCGTTTGTCATGTGCAATATTGGTTATGTACTTATTAGCACTTTTCTCAAGTGCTTCCTTTGAGCATCACTGCCTTTTGGCTTCGTTCTCCTCCAGGTGGAACGGCTCCATGTGGGTCGAGGCCTCCTGGTTCCGCCGGCCCCCGCCCCCCGCGGTGCCCACCGAGAACAACGTGCGGCCACCGGTGCTTCGGCCTGGGAATCGGTGGAAAAAAGCTCCCCAACAGTAGCACCTTGCTACTAGGAACAAGTGCATCGCTTCTAGTAACAAGTGCCTTACTAGTAGTAACAATGAAGCTATTAGAAACAAGAGGCTAACTAGGGGCTCCTGGCATCGCTACTAGGGGCAAGGACGCTACGAACGGGGCTCCTGGCCTTACTGCGAACGGTAACAAAGGGCATCGCTACGAAGGGAACAAGTGCATCGATACGTTCGTTTCTTCTGAGTTACTAGTAGTAAGGCCAGGAGCGCCCCTTGGTTCGGGTCCGATCGCTGCGTTCGAGTCGCGATGCCCTTTGCTACGTTCGTAGCTTCTTGTTTCTAGTAGTAATGCCCTTGTTACTAGTAGCAATGCGCAAACCCTCTTCTTATCCCCTTTCTTTGGAAGTTTCATGGATCAAAGAGGGGGGAGGTTCAGTTCGGAAGTGTCACAGAGTTTGGACTGCGGAAGTTGAAAGGCAAAACAGTTCACATGTTTTCAATGTGTTTCCTCTTTTGCCTGGAAAGGGGCGGGGAGGAGACCACTCCTCCTGAGGTCCATTTGGGTGCCACGTTCAAGAACATTGGAATTTGCCCGTCGCGTCTCAGTAGCAAGCGGAGCCTTGGCAGCCTTGGCGCCCAAATGTGTGGACGAATTCCTGCGATGGATTTCATGGATCCACAAAGACCACTGTATGCCATGCAATGCTATACTATATCCTGAAGCCACTGAAACTTGGGGACAAAGGGACGCATGAATATATCATGAAATCTTTCTGAATCGTAAAGGTGACAAATGGGTCGTGACATCTTCAGAACTCCAGAGTGTATCTATCTCTCCAGCACGTGTCATAGGGCGTGAAGGATGCGCTTGCGCTACCTGAATGAGCGTCCCAAGTTGATGGGAGCGTGTTTTGTTCACATCGAATCATCAAAGAACCAACTACTGCCCTTTGCTTCAGGGGTCATTGAGACATATTGGGACACTTCTTGTCAACTTGGGAATGTGCGACTGAAAAGACGTGATCCATGATGCATGGTGAAACTTCACGTTGCAATGGGAGAAATTGGTGGATGAGTCGCAATTGGAGCTTCTAAGTCGTTCAGGGCAACCCCTTCGGAAACCCGAAGGGAACGAGGGGGCCATCCGATCCGACCAACAAGGGTTTTCTCCACCCGTGGGGGACCGGTTGCTTTGGTGGTCGCCTTTGAGGTTGGTCTGTTCGGTTCCCAGTGGCCGGCAGTAGCCTGTTCCGGTGACACAGGTCCTAGTAGCTTCATTGTTACTAGTAGTAAGGCACTTGTTACTAGTAGCGATGCACTTGTTTCTACTAGCTTCTTGTTACTACTAGTAAGGCACCTGTTCCTAGTAGCGTGGCACTTGTTCCTAGTAGCATGTTGACAGGCTTTTCAGCCACAACTTTGCAACATCGCCTCGAAGCCGTGGGGGGGGCGCTTTAAACGAAGTCGAATGAACCCCAACCAGCTCCTTTGGTTTCAGCCCGTCGAGCGACGAAGTCGAACGACCAAAGGCTCAAACTGTCTCAAAGGTTCTCAAAGCTTCTCCAAAGCTTGTCAACTCTTCTTAAAAGAGTCAAGACTGTTCACAGTCATCTCAAACCTACACAAAACTGAAGAGAACCATCTCAAACAGTCTCCATGTACACGCTGTGCTACCAAAAGCTTCTCTAAGCATTCTCTAGCCACGTCTAGCCACACCAAACCTTCTAAAAGTTTATCCTGCCAAGTTGGTCAAAGCAAAACACCAACAAAGGACCACAAACCAAAGTCAGCTTGAACCCCAAGTCATCAAAAACAACAATCTACCTGAGAAACAGGCACTAGGTGATCCGCACCCTGTACACACTGGCTACCCACTATCTTTCACAAAACGGGGCGCTCCACACTTGCGCCAAGGCATTCCAAGTGTACTTCGCTCAACCATTCTTGACATGCTTGGGCGCGGGCTTGGCCATTGATTTGTCCACGATAAACTGCATTTTCGGGTGAATTTGTGGCCTTCACTTTGGGGTCCAAAAACACTAGCAAAACCGGTCTCAGCACCGAGGGCATCCCCAGTAGTCAAAGAAGACTTTTCCTGAACCGGAGTATCCGGTTGGAGGCCATCGCTATAGCAGTAACAAGAAGCTACGAACGAAGCACAGGGCATCGCTACGAACGGAGCGATCGGACGCTACGAACGGGGCTCCTGGCCGTACTACTAGGAACGATCGGACGCTACTAGTGACAAGAAGCTCTGCTAGTGATATGTGGTTTTCAGCCTTTCCAACCGCTGAGGATCTGGGAAGAGGCCCTGGAGGAGAAGCGCTCGCGCCGCGACAGCGAGACGTGCATCGTGAAGTTGACGGGTGCGGTGCCCTTACTGGCGGAGCCTGGGTGTATCAAGCATGAGAGATGTCGAGATGTGGCCTGGAGAGTCTTAACAAGTGTTGTGTGTTTAGTTCTCTTTTTTTGAGACATGTTCCCCCTCGTTCTGGTGATTGTCCGACATGGCTTTGTCTCCTTTTGTCTCCAAAGAGCTCTGGATTTGGAACAGAACACGAACGGTTCATTTGTGATCATTTGTTATACCCCTTTGACCTCTCAGGTCTATGCATGTGTTTTCACTCTCTCTATTAGAAACAATGTTCGCTACTATAGGAACAGGTGCATCGCTTCTAGTAACAAGTGCCTTACTAGTAGAAACAATGTTTGCTATTAGAAACTCATTTAATTAGATTCGAATTGAATTATAGAATCTAATTTATTAGAAACCTACTCTTCCTTCCCCAGATGGACCTGACTTGGTCGTCGTCGGCATCGCCCCGGTGTCCCGGACCGGGGAAGAACACCGGGAGTCGCTGGGTGTCTCCAGTCCGAGGTCGTGGGGAACGAGGGCACCTGCTGCCCCATCGGTGACCTCGTGGAGTCGGCGAACCGCTGCTGTTGCGGCTTCTTGGGCGGCGAACCGGTCTTCCTGGACGAGTACACCTACAGCGACGCACGCGCCGAAGCTGAAGCGGCGGGCAAGAAGGGTTTGGGGGGGTTTTGGGCGGGGCTTTGGGGAAGCGGGAAATCCAGGTTCCGAGGTTTGGAGGGGAGAACGAACGTGCGTTTAGGGCCTTTCAGGGTGACTGGAGCAGTGCCAGATTCTAGTTTGAAGCAGTTCTTGGGAGAGAGAAGTACTGAGGAACTCCCTCACAGAATCAACCCCCACGCGATCTCCTGCTGCGAGTGTTTCATAGCTTCCTACGTTCGAAGAGCGTGCGCACATACGTTGGCTGCACGGTGCTTTGTTTCAGAGCACTTCTGTCGGTATTGACCCTGCATCCAGGTGTGCATTTGAGGTACCCCAAACCAGGCCTTCCCCAAACAGAACCTCCACACGCGGGAAGCACCCAGCACGCGCACGACGACCGAACGAGTCCTGACGTTGTGCCGAGGTGACAAGCTGAGCTTCGAATATGCGACCATTTGGATGTCGAAGCTTGGGCTATGTGCCGGGCTGCGAACGATGCAGGCGATCGCCATGGTGTTTGGCCGGTGAGTCATTGGTCCAATTAGTTCACCCGAATTTGAAACAAGCTTGGCGAACAAGGTCACCTGTGTGAGATGTTGTGCTCCACATAGATTTGAACAGGATGGGACTCCAATTGCTAAGTCGTTTTTGAAGGCCTTTTTCCCTCGGCCTTACAAAAACCCTCCAACCGTTGGCTTTCGAACCTAGATTCTGCGAGAGATTGGCGATAGGAGCTTCGAGCGTCTTCTAACAAACGCTGGGAGCTTCGAGCGTCTGAGGAACGTTCTGCCCTGGATTGGCCTGGCAGTGACCATCGCCCTCTACTTGGCCGCTGTCCTCTTCCCCGCGGACGTGGAGGCGACGAACCCCCGAACCGGCGCCCGCCACACCCTCGGTGCACGACCGCACCATGGGATCCGGTGAGGGTGAAACGGCAACCTCCTCCGTTCCGCAAGAGTCGTCCATGAGTCGAAGGTCCACAGAGATCTTACAAACCAAGACCATCCAAAACCTCGAAACATGTTTTGGATCGTCGGTCTTGAAAAACCAAGACCATCCAAAAACCAAGACCATCCACAGAGGTCTTGAAAAAAGAACTCGGTGTTTTGCCAAAACGGCTTTAGTCGCTCCTGGGAACGGATGATCCACCGGAGGGGACGGTTGAACGTGGATGAGTCGGACAGACGGAGCTTGGTGACCGAGCTCAGGAGCTCAGGAGAGCTCAGGAGCTGAGCAGGTTTGGAGCATACAACTGGAGTATTCCCCACAAGACCTCATTCTACTGGAGTTGGTCATACAAAAATAACACTACTCATCGTTTGGAGGTCAAGAACCAGGATTTACTGGGTCAGACTGGACGAGCGTAGATTGCTGGGCCAGACTGAACCTCAGTCTCCTGCACTGGAGGCTCTATAGCTCTTGTGTGCAACATCTGTCATGAGTCGCGACATCTCTGCGTTTGCACATGCCTTGCCTGTCTTTTTGGGGGGCCTCCAACCGACTGGCGATGGCCTCCAACCTACAAGCCCAATTTCCGATTGGTGCCTCTGAGGACCCTCTCCCTTGCCTCTCAACCTCCAGGACCCAAGACTAGTAGGTTGGAGCCCATCGCAATTAGGAGCAAGGACGCTACTAGGGGCTCCTGGCCTTACTACTAGGAGCAATGTTCGCTACTAGGAACAAAGGGCATCGCTACGCACGGAGCGATCGGACGCTATGCTCGGTGGGAGCCCATCGCTTCGACCGACGTGGAGGGTGTGCTTCGGCCACGTCCCGTGAGGCTCGTGCCAAAGCATGGATCCGCAAGGATCTCTTTGCGCTTCCCGGCACCCGCGGCCGCGGCAAGCGGCTCTTCTTCAAACGCGTCGTGGTCGTGGTCTCGTGGCCTTTGCTGGCCTGGAGGATCGGCAGATCGGCTGGGTTTGACAGGCAGTGTGACCAGCGATATGGGGGTTCAGTCTTTGACGGGCGTGGGAAGCATGTCGACCATGGCTCGGCTGGCTGGCGATGCTTGAAGTGTCGACCATTCTCGCTTGTCGAACCACCTGCAGTCGACAACGACACCGGGAGTTCAGCCGGGAGTGCTTCAGTCTTCGGACACCTTCCAAAGCCAGAAGATCACATGGCAACACGAAACTCGGCCAACATCTTGGAAGAGATCTACCAAGAAACCAGAAAACAAGAAACGACCTGGAAACTGAATCAGACACCAACAAACTCTACAAGGTGTAACCCTAACGTCTTCTGACCAAGCACAACCTTTGGCTCAAACTGCTCGCGAGCGTGTGAAATGGTTTCCGCAGGAGCATTTCACACAGTGCTTCTCCGAAGTGATGGCTGCGCTGTAACTAGCGGCCGGAACTACCATGGTCAATGCAACATCCCACCTTTGGATGAGGGAATGTCTTACACTCAGGTTTCTGCTGGTGGGGTGCATACGGTACTCCTCCGAAGTGATGGTAGCGCCACTGCTTGCGGAAGAAATGATTTTGGACAATGCAACATCCCGCCTGTGGATGAAGTAATGTCTTACACCCAGGCTTCTGCCGGTGGGGTTCATACGGTGCTCCTCCGAAGTGATGGTAGCGCCGCTGCTTGCGGAAGAAATGAGTTTGGACAATGCAACATCCCACCTTTGGACGAGGGAATGTTTTACACCCAGGTTTCTGCTGGTGGAGTTCATACAGTGCTCCTCTGTGGTGATGGTAGCGCCGCTGCTTGCGGAAGAAATGATTTTGGACAATGCAACATCCCGCCTTTGGATGAGGGCATGTCTTACACCCAGGTTTCTGCTGGTGGGGTTCATACGGTGCTCCTCCGAAGTGATGGTATCGCCGCTGCTTGCGGAAGAAATGATTTCGGACAATGCAACATTCCGCCTTTGGATGAGGGCATGTCTTACACCCAGGTTTCTGCTGGTGGGGTTCATACGGTGCTCCTCCGAAGTGATGGCAGCGCCGCTGCTTGCGGAGGAGATGATTTTGGACAATGCAGCATTCTACCTTTGGATGAGGGAATGTCTTACACCCAAGTTTCTGCAGGTGAGGCTCATACAGTCCTTCTCCGAAGTGATGGCAGTGCTGTTGCTCACGGACGGAACCAGCGTGGACAATGCAACATTCCGCTCTTGAAATCTTGGAGCGAGCTCTTCACTTTTTCTACGGCCAGCCGTCGGTACGTATGTGATTTTAAACCACCTGGTAAAGACTATGTTTTGCAACTGGATGTTGCATTCGAAGATGCTGCTGCTGTGCTGACATGCTGGGACTTGGCAGGAAACGAGGTGCTGCGCTTCAGGGCACATGGCTCAGACTTAGCGTCAGAGATTCACCACCGCATGGTGAGTGCCTTGAAAGTTCCGCCCCAAAGTCTTCGAGCGGTCTTGCCTGATGGGCAGCTCTTGACCTCAATCTGCAGCACAAACCCCTTCGCCACCATTACTCAGTTGGCTGATCGTCGAGCGACTTAGCGGCGAACAGTTGAGCCGAAAAAAGCCAGTGACGCTCACGATCGGGTGCACGATCCGGAGGACAGGCCGCGTGCCGCGTGCCGCGACGCCCGACGGTTGGAACGGGTGACTCGACTCGAGCGACGACTTTGGTGCGACGAATGGAGAGACTTTGGGACAGCTCCGATGATTTCTGGTGGAGCAGCCGTCAAGGCACCTGTTGGTGAGCCTTTGCTGGTATGAAAACCATAAAGAAGTAGGAGCTTGGGCTGGTCTTCAAAAAGAGAGTGCTTCCACTGGCTTCCACCAAAGTTTGTGGGAGCATTTCAAGTCTTCCGAGATGCTCCGGTGCTCCTTGATGGTAAGACTCCAATGCACTGCTGCACGGCACACTGCTGCAGACTCAGCCAGCGGATGCCAAAACACCCGCGTGATCCGCCGGGCGCCGTCGCCGGGTAACCACTGCTCTGAATTGTGTGGCACTGTCACCCGGGAAGAGACCCACATGGAACCTGAACATGGACCAGACTGAAAAACGATTGGCCCCTACAACCCGACGTGGTTTTCAGGTTCCATCTTAGTCTTCCAGGCTGTGCCCTCAACACTGTATTGATTGCAAGAAAAAGATTATCTTAAAGCTCAGAGGGCACGGGTTTTCCACAAGAGTCATGCTGGAACCTAGAACCTACATGGGCCTGTGATCCTCTGACACGAGCCCTTCCTGGATGATGATCCCAAACCTGCTTAATTCTAACAATCATTGGAGCTGTTGCACTACTGTTACTACATAGAAAATGACATTCTAAGGAAGATGTGTGTCTTTGCGACAACGCGACCACGCGACGCCCCGAGCGCCTCCGGGGCCGTCTCAATTCGGGTCCTCCCGCATTCGGCCCGGGATGGGATGCGCAGGACCTATTTGCGCATCAGCCGCTCCGAAACCAGCAAGTTCATCCGCTGGTTCATCTTGCCCAACGGCCGCACCCCCAGGCGGAAAGAGGGCGAGGAACCAGTGCATCGCTGCTTTTGACGTAACTTCGTGCATCGCTACGAACGGAACAATGTAAGCTACTAGGAGCTCCTGGCCTTACTACTAGGAGCAAGGACGCTAGTAGAAACACGAGACAAGCGAGACAAGCGAGACGAGCGGCATCGGTGGAGAGATGGAAGGGAGGGGTAGAAGAGTAAGAGAGGTGGGTGTTTTTTGCGTGCGTGTGGATGTGGAGAGATGAAATCAGGTTCATGTGGTGAAGGATTTGGATCTTTTGAGAGGGGATTCCAGATTCATGTTTCACCTCCTGTTGCCCCTGCTGTTGGCAACATGTGTGAGGGAGTATTATATATCACAACATGACTCATGTGAAAAAGCGAACGTGGTCGTCAGGACAGGGACCAGTTCGCGTTCGCTTTGATCTTCGATCAGGGCCATCCGCCGGCGTCCAACAGCAGATGGGAATCCACCAACACATCACATCTTGTTACTAGTAGTAAGGATGCTCCTAGTAGTGATGCCAGGAGCCCCTAGCAGCGTCCTTGCTCACCTCTTCACTTGTTTGACATGTCCAATTGACACCTCCAGTGGCCGTTCTTCTTTCACACAACCCCCAAAAGCCTCTTTCCTTTTAGAAGTAGAAACAAGAAGCTACTAGTAACAAGTGCATCGCTTCTAGTAACAAGTGCCTTACTACTAGTAACAAGAAGCGAACGTAGAATTAAATTAACTAATAGCGAACCTTGTTACTACTAGTAAGGCACTTGTTCCTAATAGCAAACATTGTTACTAAGAAGAACAACCGGACTCGGGACCGGTTTCAGGCCGTTGGAGCTCTACCGGTCGCTGCTCTTCTTGGCCTTCGGCTCCGTCTTCGCGGGCATGGCTCCGTGGCTTCTGCTGGGCGCCGTGCTGGGAGAGATGATGATTGGCAGCGCCCTGCAGCTTTGTCAGGTGCGGTGACCGTCACCGTCACCACCTTCACCACCTCTCCAACCGAATAGCAAACTAATAGCTTATTTCTTGTTTCTGATAGCTTCTAGTTACTAATAGCGTTCTTGCTCCTAGTAGCGATGCCAGGAGCCCCTAGTAGCAAAACTATATTAGACCTTTCTTCCGGTTCTTATTCCTTGTTTCAAGTAGCGATGGCCTCCAACCTACTAGCGATGGAACTCTCAGGACGATTGGAACGTCGACATGTTGCGTGACGTCGACCACGAGAGGAGTAGCTACGAACGGGGCTGGGATGGACCTCCCACGTTTCCGGTCCGACGAAATCTCGCAAAGGCACCATCAATCCTGTCCGGGTGGCTTCTTGTTACTACTAGTAAGGCACCTGTTACTAGTAGCGATGCACTTGTTTCTACTAGCTTTTTGTTACTACTAGTAAGGCACCTGTTACTACTAGCGTGGCACTTGTTAATCCCGCGCCTCGGGAGAAACCGGGCCACGGCGCCAGGTGATCCGATACTTCAAGTCGCCCTTCGACCCTTTGGACTTGCGCGATATGCAGCTTCGCCAGGAGGTCTCCCGAGTGAAGGCCCGGGGCGGTGGTCGCGGGAGACTTCGTCACGTCGGTTTGGGCCTTCGCAGGTGTTTATGGTGCCCCCCACTTCTTATGCGGGTGGCGTGTAAGAAGTGTGATGACAGCAGTGGGCAGGTGAAGTATGATGATGGCATGGCCTCTGCTTTGGATGTGGCCGTGAACGTGGCGGCCACCTTCGTCTTCGGGTTGGCCTACTTTGGGCCGCTCGGTGGACGCTGAGCGGGTCGAAGGCACGAAGTCACCCTGTGGGTCGTGTCGTTTTGGACGAGACATCCATCCAGCCATTGGATGAGCGCCAATAAGAGAGTGGATGGTAGGCCAGATGGAGGGTCATCTTCCATTTCAGTGTTTCAAGTTGGTTCATTAATATGACATCAAAGCCTTGAAATCTTTCATGTGGCAATGATCGTGTTCTTTCGTCGCCAAAATGTGATGCTCCATCGGCATAGGACCCTCAGTCTTTTGGAACAAGGGCATCGCTATTAGTAGCAAGACCGACCTCCCTGTTGATTGTCTTTGTTGCTTTCTGGCGATGGCCTCCAACCCAAGAGCGCCCTCGGAATCCCATGCCACCTTGCCCACGGTGCCCTCGGAATCCCGTGCCCACGGTGCCCTCGCCCCACCTTGCGAGGAAATTCATCTTCGACCTGTTGATCGTGCGTGCGCAGATGCTTTCCTTCGAGGCCATCGAAAACATCGAGGCGGACAAGGTGGTGGAGCTCTTCCCAGGCAGGACCTCGAACGGCGGTGACGACCTCGGACGCAGCAGCGTGACCCGACGGCGGTGACCGACACGGATTCCAAGGCACGTTTGAAAGGACACGACGTTGGACGGTAAAAAGCCTGAAAAGAGTTCTTCACTTCAGATGTGTTTTAGGAATCTGAGGAAACTGAGGAGGTCCGAGAATTCCAAGGGCTTCCCCTATTTTCCTTCTCATTTAGGACACATCATTGGCGGGTCGCGGTCCCTCGCGGCGGTTCCGCGCCACCCGGACCCAAGGTCTCCTGGAAACGCTCCGAGAACCTGCGATGTTGCTCTACGACGCTTGAGCCTGTCGGATGGCGGAGGTCGTCCCCGGGTTGCGCGCACCCTGTGCGGAGAGATCCCCCATCTCCGATCCACTCGGTGATGTTCCAAAAGGGTTTGACTCGGTGACTCAAGTCGTTCGGAACGTGCACTTCGGCGGGTCCTCGAGTCACTTAGACTTCGGATCACATGGAGTCTATCTCTATCTCTCTCTCTCTCTCTCTTTGTCTCTCTGGATCACGTGTGAAGTGACACAAGGGCTTGGTGCGGCTCTTTGCCCTGGCCCACCACTATGAAGCTTTTTGCTGAGTATAGCTCCCATGTCTATGACATTCGTGACATGGTATGCTTGTTGGATTTATCCAGGGTCAACGCCCAGGGTCAAGGAAAGCCGGTCAACTCATCGGCCAAGTGGTCATCGTTGAAGTCGTTGTTCGATTCCGGGGGGGGTTAACGTTGACACCGTGGAACTCAAGCAGGGCCGGGGCAGACCTGGACTAGAAGCGATGCACTTGTTACTAGTAGCATCCTCTTGTTCCTAGTAGTAAGGCCAGGAGCCCCGTTCGTAGCGTCCGATCGCTCCGCTCGTAGCGATGCCCTTTGCTCCGGTCGTAGCTTCTTTTTACAACTGGTGACACGGCCCAGCAACTCTTCCATGGCGCAAAGCATCGAGTGGTCTCGTTTGCTTCGCCACCGTTCTTGTTACTAGTAACAAGTGCCTCGCTACTAGTAACAAGTGCCTTACTACTAGTAACAAAAAGCTATTAGAATTAACTAATAGCGAACCTTGTTACTACTAGTAAGGCACTTGTTCCTAGTAGCATGGTATAGGAAGGCAGGTACTCATTCGCTTCGCCACCGCGCTTCTAAGGGGGACTCGTTGAAGGGATGCGTTTGAACCATCGGGCTGAGTCAATAGACCTTTCAGCTACCAAACAGCTTTGTTCAGCCACATTGTTCTAAATGAAGCTGGAAAGGGAGAGGGAAGGTCCATTCAAGCCTTTCAGACACCTCAATCTGCATGTCTTTCGTGAGATGGAATCACATGGAATCACACTTGGACAGGCGAAGAGCACTGGAAACCTCACAAAACTCAAAGAACCAACTCAAAGAACCTCAAAGCACCTCCGAAAAAGGATGAAACATCGGAAAACATGGAAACATGTCAGGACATGATGTACTTCACCAGCCAAGCAATCTCTTTGAGCCTGGGCACCTTGGTCGGCATCCCACTCTGTGAAGGCCCCTGCGCCCTGGCAGGCGCGAACCAACCCGCCTGTGGATGTGATGAATAAAGCCGTGGAAGACCACCAGGAGCCCCTAGTAGCGTCCTTGCTCCTAGTAGCGACGCCCTTTGCTCCTAGTAGCTTCTTGTTACGGCCAGGAGCCCCTAGTAGCGTCCTTGTTCCTATTTGGTTTGCTGGTGAAAGTCTCTGATGTGAACCCAGGGTCTTTTGCTTCGGGCAAAAGACGCACCAAACATCTCAGAGCTTGGGAGCTTGAACTCACAAGTATACTGTTACTCATTACTCTCACTACTCCTCCTCGTCTCCTTCTTCTTCTTCTTCCTCCTCCTCTTCTTTTTCTTCTTCTTCTTCTTCTTCTTCTTCTCTTCTTCTATGTCTCGTCTTCACAGAGTTCTTTGACAGGCTCAGTGGCGCTGGTGATGATCTTGTATGGCGCCTCGCAGTGGCTGAACTACGAGCCTTGGCCGGGCCGCTCTCAAAAACCACCTGTGACTCACGGGTGACCCATGGTGTACCGTGTCTGACCCTCTCCGGACCGCTTTTGAATCGATGACACCGGCAAGATGGCCGCTCTCAACTTCAAATCCATGGATCTTTAACAGGAAAAGACATCGCTGCTCTCCAAGATGGATCGGAACGGTTGAAACATGTTGAAACCTGTTGAAACTCGATGTCCGGTGATCCACGATCTCCGGATCCGTTTTGGAGCTCCAAAGGTCAGTGCACGCTTGTAAAGGGCTGAACGTGCACGGTCAAGTGCATCACCACACCCGGTGAAGGGTGTGCGTGAAGGGAAACATGTTGCGTTGATGAACTCGTGCGATGATTTCGTGCGATTGGTAAGCCAGTGGTTTTACGCCTTCCCAAGCCCTCATCAAGTACTGAAGTGAGGTTGCCACCGAAGGTGCCTGTACAAGCCATGTTCCCTTGGCAAATAAAAGCCTGAGTTGTGAATGCAAACCTGGTCGGAGAAAAAACATACTTCTGTGAACATGTGCATGGATTTGGATGAGATGACCCAAGGGTTTTTCATCCACTTGTTCTTTTCACCTTTCTGATAGATCGGCATGCGGAGAGTGGACCTCTGATCGTGCCTCTCAGGACCTCTTCGGCCTCTTCGTGGCGGCACGGCAGGTGGTCCGTGCCACGCGACCGGAGTGCCAACGTGCCGCGGCACAAGACATCGGCCATTGGAGAAGGGGGGCCACGTGTGGAGGAATTGGTGGGGAATTTGGTAGGAAGCATTCGCCCCAAACTGCTGAGGACATATGTTTTTCTTGGCTGAGTTTGGGAAACCAAAGCCGTCCAGGAGTTCGGGAGACATTTGTAGATAGCCTGAGTCATGTGACCCACGTCACTGTTCCACAGCCGAGCGACCGGGAAATGGCACTAGTCACCCCCCAGTCCCTTCGTCCCCATGCTTCGTGGAGCGTGAGGACTTGAGCGGCGGTTTTGCCACGAAGCCGTCGCTCCGAGGAAGAAGCCTGGCCACCTCATATTCGATAGCAACCGAATAGCAAAATAGTTAGCCGGTTCTTCCTTTTCTTTGTTTCTTTGTTTCTTATAGCGATCGCCGATGGCCTCCAACCTCATAGCGATGACCACCGAAGCTGCTCTACAGAGACAGTCCAATGAGTTCACCCCTCTCTTCGCCAGACGTGCCACGTGTCACGCTTCCCCGCAGTGCTACAAAACCCGGTGGCGCTCGTGGACTCAGTACTAGTAGCGGCCTTGCTTCTTGTTACTACTAGTAAGGCACTTGTTCCTAGTAGCGATGCACGTTCCTAGTAGCGTCCTTGTTCCTAGTAGCGATGCCAGGAGCCCCTAGTAGCGGCCTTGCTCCTAGGTGTGCTGGCACAGTCGTTGATCCTCTTCTGCTTAAGCGCCTCCTTCGCAGCGGTGCAGATGACCATGGTCCTCTTCACCCGGGCCTTGGCCTTCGCCAACCCCTTTGCCCCTCGGAAGGGTCATTGAAGGGTCCCCTGGCCCACTGGGTGTTGGTCTATTTTCCGTCTTCCAGTACACATCCACATGCTGTCTTGGAGAATTGGACCGTCCCTTCTTTGCGGACGGCAAGCAGTTGCACCAATGATCATTGGCAAGCAGTTGCACCAGAAGGAACTCCTGAACTGTTTCAGCCGTAGTGGTGAACAGAATATGCCAAGCGTGAGGCTGAAGAATCCTCGGCAAATCAGCTTGTTTTGGTCTACCATGGTCTATACCTGTCCCTTGATCATGGGCTGGATGGCCCAGCGCCCTCTCGCACCATCGTCGCAGAGCCTGTGAGGTGGTCTCCACCTGGGTGTGCGAATATGATGACACCTTAGCCATCTTCGTGGGCCGATTGCTGCTCACAGGCCCGCCCTCTCGTGAATTCCGCGCGACCCCGCCAGCGCCTCTTCTTTTCAAAAGATCTGGAGGGTTCGACCATGTTCGACCTGACATCGGGCAGTGGTGTGAAACAATCGGAGGAGGCCATCGCTCTTAGGTTCCTTTTTGCTACCAGGTTATTGCCACGCTGGAAATGGGGGACTGCCACGTTTCTGCGTCTCAACCTCCAGACACGGCGGTGACACCTCCTGGGCGAACTCGTGGCGAGTTCGGGGTCCAAGTTGGGAGATTGGACGGTTCACGCGTGCAGTGGCGAATCTTGGTTCCAACCACTGTTGTCGCACACGAGCTGGGATTGCTTCATTGGGTGTAGCTGGCCGAGTTTGAAGAGAACATTGACATCAAATCATGAATTCCCTGCAAGTCTCAGACTTGCCCCTTCAGCAGATCTTGATGCTCATTTGCCTGAACCCCTTGGATAGCACCAACCTGCGAGGCTCCTCACTGGTGGGCCTGGTCTTTGTCTTCTTGTGCGTGAATGGCCACTTCATGGGCCAGGACTGGAAATGCCACGAAACGCCCCGAAACGCGCTACTTCGGCCTCCAGACCTTGGAGAATTGGAAGGAGCATGACCCTCTGAAAAAAGAAACGGCAATACACAGATCAAAACAGTCGGATTTAGACAGTCTATAGAGGTCTGTGTTTTGATCCGGTTAGAGACGGTAAGTAAACTGTAAACTGCTTCTCTCGAGGTCTAGATTAGGAGTGTTCAACCATCGCGGTCTATAAAGGCTTGGAACCCTGGCAATCCCTTCGTCCGAGGACTACATCACCGCGCGGGTCGCCAGCTTCCTGGGCATCGACCTCACGGCCTTGGACCCCGACGGCATCGGCACCTCGGTCGGTGGGCATCGCGACTCGAACGGGGCTCCTGGCCTTACTACTAGGAGCAAGAAGACGCTACGAACGGAGCAAAGGGCATCGCTACGCACGGAGCGATGGTTTCAATCCCGGTGATTGAACATGGTTGCACCGGTTTTGTGTTGAAGGTGGATGGCCATGGCAGCCTTCTGAGTGGAGGGGCCCTGGGAGGGCTACTGCCTTGTGTCATTGGGAGGTTCAAAATGTGCAGACCTTGTTAAGCAAAAAGCAAGCCAGCAGTGGATTGTTCATATTCCTTCAGCTATTTCTAGTGGTTCTGCTGGACCACTGTTTTCCACCAAACCAAAGCCAGAGGTTAAAAGCGTCGGAGACAAGTCTTTCACCTTTCAGGAAAAGATGCACAAACACTCCCAATGGCCCCTTCTGGTTACTAATAGTATGGCCAGGAGCCCCTAGTAGCGTCCTTGCTCCTAATAGCGATTCCCTTTGCTCCTAGTAGCGATGCCCTTACTACTAGCATTCTTGCTCTCGAAATGCATCACCAGTTCCCCCCGATGGCCCGCTGCAAAGCACCCTGGTCGGTCACGCTGGTAGACCTCGCTCGCTCCCAGGCGAGGAGGGCGGCATGTTCCGCCTCAACGTCTTTGGCGCCGCGCTCCCCACGCTGCCACTCAGCTGCGGAGGAGGAGCTCTGAGTGGGAGGATGTAGTCGTTGAATCCAGGAGTTCACTAGATGTTCTGAGCTCGGGGGGAAGGATGAAACGAATGATGTTCATCATGTTTTTGAGGCAAGAGCCATGGGTGCCCGAACCACTTTTTTAGGCCAGGTGGTCCATTCTTGGGGGACAAGAATCCCAAACTCTGGGAATTGGCATGAGGATCAACTTCCAAAGAGGCTTGTGGAGCTCCTCCCAAGACATGGTGCAAATCAAACCCGGTTCCCTCGCTTCCACAGGGGACGAGGTTTGGAGATTTGGTATGACTTTGTGATGTTGATAGCTCCAGAATTCATGCGTGACTCTCGTGGGGAACAAAACCAAAGGCCTGCCAAAACAAAAAGGAAGGGACCCCCCCATCTATACTCCCAAGTAACACTCCCCTCAAGTCACAATTAACCAGACAGTGACCGTCGTTCTCCGCATCATCTTCCACGTGCCAAACCTCAGCCGCTGGCTGAGGTTTGGCATTTTGGAAGCTCCTAGTAGCGTCCTTTGCTCCTAGTAGTACGGCCAGGAGCCCCTAGTAGCGTCCTTGCTCCTAGTAGCGATGCCCTTTGCTCCTAGTAGCGTCCGTCTGAGGTTTGGCATTTGGTGGGATCCTTGGAACATCGATGCCTACCTCGTCCACGAGCGGGCGCACGTCTACTCCATGGAGCTGCGAGACCCCCAGGCCCGCGCCGTCGCTGACGGGAATGGGCATTTCGCCCGGGAACGCCGGATCGGGCCGGTGGGTGGGTCGAGCTCCTTTTGGAGCAACTATTAGGGGCTCCTGGCATCGCTACTAGGAGCAAGGGCCTTACTACTAGGAACAAGAAGCTAGTAGAAACAATATATAAATTAGAATTTAATTAGTAGTAAAGAAGGCTACTAGGACCTTTGTTAGTAGCTTCTAGCTACGTACTAGTAGCGATGGCGTACTAGCGATGGCCTCCAACCAAATAGTGATGGCCTGCAACCTAGTAGCTTCTTGTTACTTGTAGCCTTTCATTGAAGGAAGCTACTTGTACCATCTTGTACCTACCTACAATGAAGATCTTTTTTCATTGAAGACCTACCTACCTTTTTGTTTAAATAGATTTGTGGCAGATGAAGATCGAGGGTATCTACCGGGCGGAATGAACGTTGGGTGAAGTTAGGTGGGCAGACAGCTGAGAAAGGCAGAACAATAGAGGCACTTTCTTCAAAGACCCCAGATCAGATAGCATCACATTCTGATTGGTGGGTGAAGGCCCAAATCACTTGGGTGACTTTCCATGACATCTCATCCCGCATGTCTCATCTCCAACCTCCAGCCTCATCCACCTGCGTACGCAACGTTCAGGCCTGCAAGCGCTGCGATAAGATCCACGTGCAATACGAGCTCATGATGACCGCCACCGGGCGAACGGTCTCTGCCGCCGTGCAGATCGTGCCCTACGGCGCCGTCGTGGCCAAGGTGTCGATGGGGTCGGGAGGGGGTCAAAAGAAAACAACACACACCGGAACACACCAAGACCATTCCTAGTAGCAAGTGCATCGCTAGTAGTAACAGGTGCATCGCTAGTAGTAACAAGAAGCTATTAGAATTACTTTTAATTAATTAATTCTAATTCTAATTAGATTATAATTACTAATAGCTTCTTGTTACTACTAGTAAGGCACTTGTTACTAGAAGCGATGCACTTGTTCCTAGTAGCGAACCTTGTTCCTAGTAGCGATGCACTTTCACCATGCCAGGACTCCTCATTCCAATGTTTTTGGTTGGTTAAATCTCACCCAACCATACCCAACCAGCAAAGTGGACACATCACTTGAGCGCATTATTTTTGTTTTCGTTTGCCTGGTGACGTGACCGGTACTTTTTGTTGGCCATCCTCCGTGACATAGAGATTCAATATGCCCAGAGATCAAGGTACGGCTCAAGAAGAGTGAAATGCCCAGAGAAGCGCAGGGCATGCCGTGCTGTGGGTGTTTGTTAAACGCTCCTCTCACCGCACGGTTATCGTGTCACATTGTCTAGGTGGTTCGATGTGAAAGAATCGCAACCTGAGTGATGCTGCCGGGGAAGTGTGATCCTGTGATTCTTGGGGGGGGAGGAAAGCTCTCATGGCGCAGCATGGTCAATACGGATGTCCACTCTTCAGCGCCTGGTTGGAGCTTGACCCCAGAATGTGAGCATTTGAAGGTCCTTAGGAAGACTGTAGATCTGTTCGAGAACTGCAATTGGTTGATCTTCGCAACATGGGCAAAACGAGTGGACCGACATCGTTCTTGGAGATACCATGCTTGTGGAGGATGAACGTCCATTTGCCGCTTTGCTCCCAGAGAACTAGTTTCTGTTGGACCCTCACTCAGATGAGGCTAATCACCCTGCCCATGTTTGTTCATGGAAACAGCATTTGCTATTCTTTGGGGTTGGAAAGGGCGAGCAGAATCTTCTGAGACGACTTCTTTGTTTGAGAAAGATCCCGTTGCGCTAGTGAGCTTCGACTGGAATAAGCTTGAATACGGTTTGTTGAAGATCAGCCTAGGGCCAGGCGACCTTCCAAGGCCACTTAACTTTTGGGTTTCCTTACCAAGCTGACCATCCAAAAGCATTGAAATCCAGCGAAAAGAGGCGTGCGAGTATCTGAATGACCCGCCCTTGGTCTACATCGGCAACAAGATGAGCTGCTTGAAGATGAAGAAGCTCGAGCGGCCTCCGCGACCACGCAAGAAGAACGTCTTGATCAGGACGGAGCGCGTTCTGCGCCACGCGTAGAACGCGCGTTGGCGTGCGGAACCTACGGTGTTGGCCAGTTCGCCTGACTGCATCCTTTGCTCCTAGTAGCGATGCCAGGAGCCCCGTTCGTAGCGTCCTTGCTCCTAGTAACGATGCCGATTGCTCCGTTCGTAGCTGGGGGACATGATGAGAAAGTGAGTGGTGTGAGTGAGAACATGTGAAAACCGATCCAGGAGCCTGCCAAGCGCCCACGACCATCGCAGGTGAAAAACCCATCGGAGGTGAAAAACCATTGCGGGTGGAGTTTGTCCTTTCACCTTCAAATGGCTTCTTGTTCCTGGTAGCGTCCTTGCTCCTAGTAGCGATGCCAGGAGCCCCTAGTAGCGATGCCCTTGCTCCTAGTAGTTTCCTTGGCCTTTTCAACACTCCTCCAGAACGGCTGACCGGATTCGCTGAAGTTCGGGGGTCAGGTCCAGTTCACCTTCAGCAGGTGCTGAACAGGTCGCGTCAGGTCCATCGATCTGTGTAGGTGTCCAGCCGGTTTGTTGGAACGTCTGGTGTGGGAGTCTATGAGTCTGCTACTAGGAACAAGTGCATCGCTACTAGGAGCAAGTGCCTTACTAGTAGTAACAAGAAGCTACTAGTAACAAGTGCATCGCTAATAGTAACGAGTGCATGACTACTAGTAACAAGAAGCTACTAGTAGTAATGCCCTTGCTACTAGTAGTATACTTGATCCAGTCTTCTTGTATCTCCTTGTTGCAACACATGTTTGCCTTTTTATTTTTTAGTGTTCAGCTTCGTTGCCTCCCTGTTCAGTTTTTTTCTTCAGCCACGATGCAGTTGTCCTTCTTTCCACCAGAAGAGGATAAAAACACTGCCAAACCTATAGGACCTCTATTCACTTATCCGGTGAATCAGTGATCTTGTCAATGTTCCAGGGCCTACTACTTGCTGGCAGAGATCCTGGCTTATTCTGTGGAGTATCTGGTGCCCTTCCTGCGGCGTTTGACCTCCATCGGGATTCTGATCTATCTGGCCCTGGGCACCTTCACCCTCACCGAGCAGAACTTGGCCGAGCAGGGGAGCCTCCGCCGAAGGTCGTTAAGCGTTTCACAGCGAACCGGGAGCGACCGCTGTGTGGCCCAAAGGCGGTGAGTGATCCTGCCGGGGGGGAGGAAAAGGGTGATTTTTTGAAGAAGAGGGTCGTTTTTTTCCCATGGAAACACTGGGCACTGCCATCCAACACGCATGAAACATGGGCAGAAACAAGTGCATCGCTAGTAGTAACAAGTGCCTTACTACTAGTAACAAGAAGCTACTAGGAACAAGTGCCACGCTAGTAGTAACAAGTGCCTTACTAGTAGTAACAAGAAGCTACTAGGAACAAGTGCCACGCTAG